ATATATATATAAATATATATATATAAATGATAGCTGATAGTACAGATACAGTCTTAGTTTAAAATTTGGCATTTGTGCAATATCTTAAAGAATCTTACATAAAAATCCAGAAGAAGAATTGTCCAGATGAATTCCTTACATTTAGCAGACGGTGAGTAATATGATCAATTAAGTCTGTTAAGCATCTGTGCTATAAAAGGAAGGCTTTACAAAAGGTAAATGGTGCTTATGGAAATTCAATAGAATGTCTATAATATGTACATCGCACAGTGTCATCGATGGAGACCATATTATATTAATTCTTCTTTAAGAAAACTTTTTATTTTAGGTTCCGAGAAACCAGTGGAAGTGAAAGGTCGGGCGCGTCTATACAGCATGGTGTTTTGCCCTTTTGTTATGAGAATACATCATGTGCTCAGTCTGAAGCAGATTCCATACGATATTGTCAATATCAATTTACAGAAAAAGCCGCAGTGGTTTCTCCAAGTACGCATTGAATCATTTTTAAAACAATAACATTATGTTAAAATCGAAAGAGTTTTTGATTTTATTACTTGCGTGTATGGAAATTTTTTTTAGATTAATCCAGTTGGCAAGGTACCGGTTTATGTAGATTCAGATGGTACAGTAGTAACGGAATCTGTCACAGTGGCGAACTATCTGGATGAGAAATATCCTGAGCCTCCTCTGTACAATGAAGAAACAAAAAGTCGTGATTTGGAACTGATAGATGATTTATCTAAAGTACATAACGACGTCGAGATTTCTCCTCTTTCTTAGAAATGATCCTTTAATAATTGTGTCATGTTTTTACAGATTGTAGATATTATTACGAATATCGTATATGAGAAGGATAAGAGACAATTCGAAGAGATTCTCGCCGAGATAATGGATAACTTACAAAAATATGAAGAGGAGCTTGATGTACGCAAGACAATTTTTTTCGGAGGTTTGTAAAAATCTACTCTTCCCATTTTTTTTCTACTTTTTTCTTTTTCTCTTTATACATCCTTTCTTCTAACATTGTTAAAAAATTAATTTTTCGTTTGTTCTTGACTGAAATAAGTACATTTATCGACATAAAATTGTATTTTTTTATTTTAGGAAGCAATCCGAGTATGTTAGACATTCTAATGTGGTCTTGGTTTGATGTTGGAAAGGCTTTAACTCTACTTCACAAACAATATGCAAGTGTTGTTAGATATAAGAAGAAATTTCCCCATATGGTAAA